AAGCAATGCCGGCATGTTCTTGCTGATCTTGCTTCTGGCTTGAATTGCACAGATTTTGAAACAATCTTGGAGGCCATCGCTTTGCTATTAGGTGGTGTTTTTTTTACATGCAAAGACATTTGCGCAAATTTGCGCTTCAGTTGGACGCCTTCACTTGGTTGCTCCTCTGGCTCAAAGCGGCAGACCAGATCTGCTTTCTCGAGGCCTCCCAACAGGCAGATCTGATTTGTTTGAATAGAATAGATTTGGGTTTTGACTTGGCTGTAAACCAAGCAACCTTCCGTGACTGTCAATTCTTTGCTTTGGAATGATACAAGGCCAGCAGAGATTCCTCTCTGCGATTCCTGTTGTTATGGACATTAAGTTGCATAGAGCATCGTGTCGGATTTGTGTGCAAGCTGTTGACCTTAGTGTTAAACATGCTTTCATGCAAGACATGTCATGATTTCTTTTGACATTGTTTGACTTATCAAGGGTTTAACTATCTGATGAATGTCATGCCACTGATATTGTCCTTTTCGTTTGCCATGTAAGGATGTTCGGCTCCTGCTTCTTGGCTGCAGTACTGAACATCACATTTCTGGTTGAGCTGTCAAAACAACAAACAGTCACAACCTTTCAGGTCATTTCTCATAGTCCCTGCGCTGGGTTTGGATGCCCAGGCGGCCATCTTGCCTTGGAGTTGAACACACATCAAGAACATTGATGGACAATACAATACAATACTATGCTATATCCATATGACAAACTTCAGGTTGCTCGGTAGCGTATACACATGACAGTTTATATTGCACGTCTGCCAGGGAGGCTCTATATACCTGTTGAATAGAATAGTAGCCTCTCTCCTGACTATCTCAGAAAAGTGCAATTAGATATACAATATTATACAATCATCTACCTACACTGAATGCTCTTTGCAATCTTGAGATGTTATTCTTTTCGAGCCTTTCCCCTGCAGTGGGTGTTTGCTACTGGCTGCTTCTTTCTGAAAAGGAGGTGTGTATGTTCGATGGCGCAAGCGAGAGCCAAGTCAAGCCACGAGTGAGTCAAGTCACAAGCCAGACCGAAGACTTGAGTGACAAAACATGCTTTGCATGTGATTTATAAAAAGTTATTCTATGTTTCCACTCAATGTAGACATCCCAGTTGACATGCTAGTAGATTGTCGCGGGATGAGGCCGAAAAAGTAGCTATGTTTTCAAGCACGACAGAATAGTATTGGTCAAAATAGTTTTGATATGTTCTGATATGGTTTCAGCATGGGTATGTTTCATTTTTAGATTTAACACCGTAACACCCGGACTTCGTACTCTCTGGCTTCCTGGGCGGTTTTGGGGCTGCCTACGGTATTTTTCGGAGCATGCCGCGGCCAGGCCTCGCACTCTCGTGCCTTGCCTCAACGGTTTTGAAAAGGATGTTGTTTTCTACAAGACTGACTCAAAAATGGATTCAATTCAGAAAGTGTTTCTTCCTAACTTGCTCAGGAACAGCAGTTGCAGAAGTGCTTTCAGATGGCTCTAGCCAAGGCCGCGAACGACTGTAAACAACAACTGTATTGATGTTTGACAGCGAACAAACAAAAGGGTACTGGCATGATGCAAACTTGATTTGGATCCATATTATCTGAACGGGGCTTTATATAGGTACAAACATGCCTGTCAAGCGACCCTTATATAGGGGCCCCAAAGTCGTTTTTTCCTTGGAGGCCATCGTTACTAGGTTGGAGGCCATCACTATTGGGTTGGATGGAGGCCGTTGCTATTGGGTTGGAGGCCATCGCTAGCAGGTTGGAGGCCATTGCTACTAGGGGCCCCAAAGTCGGTTTTTCCTTTCCCTGTCCACAGGGGGTTGAATCGATGTAGGCGACAGGTGGAGAAGGCCACCTGCACCACCTGATCCGACGAGACCACAGCCATTGGCAAACACAGGCTGCCGGAACTTGGGCCTTGGGTCAAGAGAAGCCAGGATTCAGGATGCCATTCCATTTATTACTGTATGTCATTTTATTGCAGTTAGCAATCTTAACGAATTGGCAAACTTGCACCTGCTTTCTGAATGTAGCTTGCCGATGGCACGTTTACGCAAAACGAGCCATGCTTTGCAAGTTTTGCTTCACCCGAACAAAAGACATAGAACCCTACGCGCTCTGGGCTGCATGAACTGTGATTTTTGTTTGAGTGAGTAGCCTTGCTTTCTTTTTTGCAGCTTGGAGTTCAAGCTGCTGTCCATGTGCAAGCTTCAGGAACAATGAATCCTTTGACCTGCTATGACACTGTGGCCAAGGCATCTTGGCATACAGTTTTCGGTGTCAACTGGACGTGTCCTTCCTGGATGTTTCTACGAGTCCTTGCAAGGAGGAAGTACCCTGCTTTAGCTTCGTGGACGTGAGATGCAAACCTTGGACATCCAGTGCATGCCAATGTGATGCAAAGTGACTGGCTCCGAAGACTCAGAAGTGATGTTTGGAAGCACTTGGTTCTGGTTGGTGTGACTCTCATGTGGTCCTGCTCTCAAAGCGCCCACTCAAAGGCGACCAATCTGTGTGACAGACGTTGCTGAAAGAGCATCGCCGGCGTCTCCTGCGAACAAGCGCTCCTCCACAAAGACACAGTATGTTTCTCGCCCCAGAGGACATTCTTCCTTTCATTGAAAAAACGAAGAGGAAACACAACACAAAACAATGAACGAAAAAGGACCGTTTCATTGTTTTTCTCACCAAAGAGGATATTCTTGCTTTGCCTAAGACGGAGTCCGTTTGTTCTTGGGCTTTGAATGCTTTGGCCTTGTCATTTTGTGGTTTGACATTGTTCGTTGAATCATGGACGGTTTTTGGGTCCAGTTGGTCTAGCCATCTAAGTTGATTGCTTGAATCACCTGCCTGCAAGTTGAACATCTAAGGCCTGCTGCCCACAACCCAGAACAACGTGAAATCAACAAACTGAGGAAGGGTTGTATGGGCATGAAGGCTGAGCAACAGCCAGAGGTTATGCCAGTGGAAGTCGTTTCATGTTATTCAATGGTCAAGAGTATTGACTGTACAGAATCATCAATACTGCTTGGAGCCCACATCTTCCACTTCCATGCCCTCTCCGGATGGCGGCCGATCGCAGAGAAAAGAGTCAAGAACCGCTGAGAAATGCTGCTGCATGTAAAACAATCACGCTGATTATCTAGTCGTCAAGAAATGTCTTTTTGCATCTTTTGGCCAGGCCGTTACAAGACATGCTGAAGAGCTAGATGCCGGGATGAAGGAGGTGCTTCAAAGAAATCATCCTGGCCTGCCTTGTCCAGCTTGTTGATTTAAATACAGTATTGTAGTTTTCGTTTGGCAGGCAGCCACCAACATAAATGCCCAGATGCGCGAGATGGAGGATGCCCAAAAAGTTGCTGCGAGGCAGATCAAGCAGATCGAGGCAGATTGCCACATATCGGCTCATTCAAGATTGGTGCGCAAAGTTGTACTTTTTAGAATTTTAGTCTTTTCTTCCAGCCTGGACAGGCATTCTCCATTGCACAAGTTGACAAGCTTAGAGTGTCCACGGCTGATTCCTCAGTCGTTGCCCGGACTTTGCAGATCAATGAGCTTTCAAGGACGTGAAATGGGGACGCAGTGTTAAACCCATTCTGGACAGAGCACACTAGTCTTCAATTCAGAATACCTGAGGCCAAGGATCTTCAAGGTCGTAGCCCGAGCTTTACTTGACACTGGTGAGCTATCGTTGAATTGTCTACCACGCCACTGAAAGGGGCCTGATCGATCTACGTAGTAACCGTGACAGTAATTAGTAAGATCTTCCGCAGAGTTTGATTTATATCAGACGCGTGGCAGCCTGCAGTGCAATTGCACTGTTCAAGTTCAGTGTCCGCAATCCACATTCCTCTTCTCAGTGAATGCTGAGTCCTAACCCCGACAAGTAAGAGGGTCCCGACCACCGGTCCAAACAGTTTGCAGCATGGACAGTAGTGAGTTTGATGCTTTCTCAAGCGGCCAAAGCTTTGTAGATGAGCATCCCCCTCGTCGACTTGTTTGTTTAGTTGTGTCGGCTGTTATGGAGGTGCGAGGTCTGCAGGACATGTGCTACCCTTTTTTCATTTTTTTTCAGTGCTGACATTCTAAGGTGCAGACGAAAAACTACGAACGGAACTGCGCAAAGAGTGGTGTCCTCGGGTCCTCGAGCAGGGGATAGTTTCTTTTCACTTGCATGGTATGGAGATCCAAACTTCACAAAACAAGCAGTACATGAATTTCGCTCTTCCGACCTTCTTTGTATTCTTGCATGTACTAGCTGCTAGCTTCTTTTCCTACTAAGCTTGCTTGCCTCCTTCTGTGGCCTATCCACTCAAAAAGTTGCGCATACACAAAGTATTTCTCCATGGTGTTTTGTGTTTGCTCTGAGACGTGCACAGGTTCAAAGGAGCTGTCAGCGAAGCTGTTAGCCAGGCCAGGTGCAATATGATCCATAGGTGCCGCTGGGGTCTCACTGTTTGCAACAAGTCGTCCTGATGTTGGCGTGATTTTGCGGTGGTAGTGCAGACGCCTTTGGGGTTGACACTTGAATCTGAAGTAAGTCCGCCCCCGCAAAAAAAGCTCAGATCTAAACTCAACGCAGATCCCGCCTGTGGGCCTTGTGGCCTTGACCCGTTGAGATCTTTCTGTCGCTCAATGGAGCACGAAGTTTGGAGCGCTTCAGACAGGGACGATCGCGCTTTTGAAAAGCTCTTGCTACTCGTAACAAGGGCATCGCTATTAGTAACGTGCATCGCTACTAGTAGCAAGAAGCGACTTGTAACCTCTTTCTTGCTTGCTTTTTGCAAAGTTGGCTTCAGCTCAGCTAAAACACAGGTGACTTGGCTGTTGCACCTGCAACAGCGTGCTATGTGAAAGAATCCCAACATGTCCCAACTCATAGATCCATTTAGGAACACATGTCTTCTGCACATGGACAATTCGACCATATTTTGTAGAAGGGGCTTCCAGGAAGCCTGTGCGCTTTACCTTCATGGCTGGTGGCGAAATCTCAGAACGCCCTGACATTTGCAAGGACGTTCTGAAGACTCCCCCTCGAAGAAGAGCAGAACGGCTTGCATGTGGATTGCCAGCCTATGTCAACTGTCAGTTGGATGGTCTTGATAATCCGGCTCCAAGGGAGATTCCCCAGGCACCTTTCATGTTCTTGCTGGATCAAACAAAGTGAAAGTTGTTTTGAGCCTAACTAGGAAGACCATGCACTACTTCAACAGCATATTTGCGTCTCAATTGGGCAAGAAATGAACAGTCTACTACAAGATTGGGTGTTGTTTCATTGCTCAGGTGGAAGAACCTATGAGGGCCCGGCCTCCGAATCTGCAGCCAAAGCCACCACACGCTGCCCCAGGAGCTTTTGAGATACCCGCGGAGCTTCTGACCTACCCGATCCCTCCGCAGATTGTCGTGGGATTGGCGCAAGAGAGCTTCAACAGGCTTGTGGTTGAAACCGTTTGCCCATATCCACTGTTTGCACTCGCAAAAGTAGTTATCTAGCGTGTTAATGAACAGAACCTCCACCACGCGCGGTCAACCTGGTTCACCCCCCTGAGAGTATCAGGTGGCTGAACAACATCTCCACCGAGATCAGCCACAAGAACCGGGATGTAGGTCCGTTGTACATTGATGAGTTCGACCTTCAAAGCCTTCGTGACAGGCGAAAACTTAGATTTTCTAGCTGCCAGGCCTAGGCTTCATTCTCTTGACCCCAAGAACTTAGGAAGCATCGAAGGATACTGGCGCAACGAATTCGTGCCAGATGGAGATTGAAGTAGCTTGGCAAAGGCAGGTGCAGGCAATTCGGGGATGGTGACAGTGGTTGGAGGAGTGTAAGCTGGAGAGTCTTGTTGAGAGAGGAGTCCAGGCAACCTCTCTGCAGACGTTGAACAAGGCAGCGACCAATGTCTATATAGATATGATTAGATATGATAGGTGAAACGATTCAGTTGTTCCATCTCAAGCTTTTGTCCGAATTGGTTGCTTTATTTATGACCTGAAACAACGCATCCAGTCCGAGCCTCCGAGAGAGCTGTGCCGAAATATGAATTGCCTGATAGAGCTTGGCACCGCTGCGAAGTGGCTGTCCGTGCTTTGGAAAAACGGTGAAAATGGACGTCGTGAAGACATCGCCATGAGTCATGTTCATTAAGATGCATGGATGATAGAACGATTGAAGCTGTCGAGAGGCCAAAGCAAGTCTGGCAGAGAAGCTGCAAAGACAAACTGAGCTCCAAAGAGAGCTTCAAACAGAGCTGCAGGAGCAGTGGAAGAAGAGACAGTGAGAGAGAGAGAGAGAGTTCTATCCAGTTTGGGTTTGAGACTTGAACTTGTGTCAGGCCATGTCAGGAGTCCATTTGTCATGCATCCAACTAGCCATGCTGGGTCATGCCAGAAGGCTTCACAGGTGTGTTTGGGGACTGTTATTTGATGTGGAACAGCAAGTTGCCATGGAGTTTTTGCAGTGCTGCACCTTCAATTGGGCAGGAGTTGCAAAGCTCCTCAGGAAGCAGTGCTGAAATGCCAGCTGCCATAGAATGGGGTTTTCACATGTTTTCACTTGCGATTTTTGGAGCTGACTGGAACAGAAAGCTCACTTCTGTCGCAGATAGAATTGGGGTCGCCGGGATCTAGTTCCTAGTCCTAGTTGAACTCACAGGAGCAGTATATAAAGAATGTGTATCCAGTGGAGTCAGGCTGAGATCCTTGCAAAAGGAGAACCAGAAGTTGACTGATGCGTTCGAAAGGACCAAGGGGAAGGTGGCGGGCAAAGATGACTTGAGACAATCAGCGGTATTGGTTCTGGACCTGTGCATTGTGGTGTTCACGCTGTCTTGTACCGATTGGTTTGAATCATGTGCATTGACAGGGAATATCATTTGAATGGAAGATTCCCCGCTGTCTTCAGCGCCTTCGCTACTTGTCGCTGTTGGGGTCTCAGATTCAGGGCATGAATTGAACGCTATTTGCACGGGGCCTGGCGTGTCACTTCGTGTTCGCTCTCTAGGCTTAGTGAGCCTGGACTTTGGCTTGACTCGGACTCCTTTCATTTGGGCTCCCTGGGGCCGTGTGGAGGCCAAGTTTGTTGGATAGCACTCAGGTGATTCTCAACATGACAGCACCAACAGAGTGTTAAGATGCATTCAATGATTTGAAACACACTCTTCCACAAGGAAGCTTCGCCCTTCTGGGACCCAACTCTAGGAGCGAACTAGTAACTAGCTACTTGTTAGCTACTTTACTAGCCGTACTAGCCGCCTACTTGCTCCCCAGGACTCAAGCGATATGAAAAGAACTTGTTTCATGTTGTTCCCAGACTCCTTGGTCTCTAGCATTTTGGATTTAACGTGCTTGACACTCGCATGATGATCAGAATTGGAGTATTCGAGCCTCAATGCGGTGAGAGGAAAATACCCAACCGCAAGGTCTGAGAGTGCAGCATTTGGTAAAGCATTTGCCTGCGCGGATGTCACTTGTGAGTTGATAGACGACCACTGGATGTTGCCAACCTCAAGTTGCTTGCATGATGACAAGAATTGGAGTATTCGAGCGAAGCAATGAGAATTGAACACCTCACCGCAAGGTCTGAGAGCACGACTTGGCATTGAGCCGTTGAGTTGCATTTTGTTGGTAGTATGCCGCATGCCTGAGAACTTATTCCACACTCTGAAGTGCGACAATTCACAATTCTTGTGTGGACACGTAGTTGATCTTGGAAGGTAAGTCCAGAGCTTGTATATATAATACGTATATATAATATATAATATATATAATATATATACATACAATATAATATATAATATATATATATATGTACTAACGCCCCCGGTGGTTAAGATGCACGTGTTTGTTTTGTCCCATAGCGTTTCGGTTCTCAGCCAGTTTTTGTCGTTGCACTGGTTGCCACTTCTGGAGCGCTCGCCCTACTACCTGTCCCTCGTGCAGGACCCTGTGCCACATACAGAACCTGTTCAGGGCTGGCTGCTTCTTGAGAAGTCAGGAGGAGGGGATTATCCAAATCCTGAGATCAGCCTGCGGGGCTATAGAGGACCTGAGTGAGCTGGCCGTCCCCATCTTGAAGAAGGAGAAGGCGGAGTCCAATCCACCAGGCTTCGAGGGCGAGGGCACTCCAGGGACGGGAGCTTCAGGGTCAGCTCCTGCAGCGGCATCAGAACCGGTGCTGGAAGCACCGCCTGGGAACTTCAAGGAGCGCACCAAGGAGGAGCACACAGAGGAGAAAGAGCCGGTTGAGACCGTTCAGGCCATCCCTTTGTCAGAGAAAGAGGCAGAAGGTGAAGTGACAGAGACAAAGAAGAAGCGGAAGAGGAAGCATAAGAGTGGACCGTCGACCAAGAAGGAGAAGCGCAAGAGGAAGAAGGCTCAGGCAGAAGACGAGGCTGAGGCCGGTGCTGGGAGCACTGGTGGTGTAGTTGAGGACCTTACGACAACAAAGGAGGAGAAGGACGAGCAGGTGCAAGAGAACCCAAGGAAGTTTGAGTTGAGGCCCGCCCCAAAAGGGACAGGGTCACCGCATTCCAGGCATCACGAATTGCCACCACCTCCACCGGCCCCCAGGCGGCCGAGGAGTCCAGATCACCCACCACCACACCGTGGGCGACATCGTGAGCAACGAGACCGATATCGTCACCGGGAGAGATCGAGGAAACAATGCCACCCAAGGCAAAAGGAAAAGCAGCGGCCAAGGCCAAGGCACATGCCAAGGCCAAAGCCAGGTTGGCTATGAGGGTGAGACCAATGCGCGGAGGAGCTCTACGGCGACCAGCAGGCCATCATCCAGGCGATGCAGCTCCTCCCACGGGAGCTTTGGGCTCGCGGCCTGACGGTTCAGGGAGCAGATGTTCCCGTGGCCGAACTAGCCAAGGGCGTGGAAATGGTCATCGACGAAGGGTCCTACTTCGGGGCTGCGTGCCGAGTAGCAGGAGTCATCCGGGGGCTCGAGGTCGAGAAGGAGGCCACTCACGTCATCCTGCAAGCAACGGGGACCGACTTGGAGTCGCTTCTCAAGCATTGTACAGGGGTTTCAGGAGAACATCTTCGCGGGCATCTATGGGGCCCTATGTGTTCCGGGGACCGAGTGGCAGAAGACCTCATCCACGTCAAGAAGGTGAGACTTGCGAAAGGCCACGAGGAGGAAGAACATTGGTGCAGGAACCTAGTGGCTGTCGAGAGGCCAGCAGTGGACGACTTGAAGGACTTGCGAGAGAAAAGGGACGAGCTCAAAGAGGCCAAAGAAAAAGACAAGAGTCGCTCCAGGAGAAGAGGGCGCAGCAGGAAGCGGAGAAAGAGTGACAAGGTGAGGGGCCTCAGTCCGGGCGGCAAAAAGAAGATGAAGGTCAGCTCATCAAGTTCGAGCCCAGAGATCCAGACCGATGTGACTATGCCGCGGGCAGCTTCGTCCAAGGGGCTGCAAGCACTCTTTGCGGGCACGGGCCTGGACATTCGAGAGAAGACCAGACGCCGCGTGGCCAGGCGCGCCAAGCGTTTGGTTCGACGAAAGAAGCAAGACAGAGGAGAGAGAGCAGTGCCGGAGTTCCACGTCAGACCACGACCAGGAGATCGACTTCGCCCAGGAGGAGGGTTTCTTCGAGGGAGCCACGAAGATCCAACGGGTGGCGGACAGCTGCATTGGTGCTGTCGGGCGAGGTCCCTGGCCGATATGAGGAGAGTTCTCCTCCAGACAGCAGGCTTCGAGGAACAAGCTCATTGGTGACGCCTACAGCAGTCCAGTACTTTCGGCAGGAGCTTCAGAGGAAGTCGACAGGGCCGGTAGCTCGGGAGCTACTGACGCTTTGCAGCTCGGTGGACTATCTCCTTCACGGTGGACTGCCTGTTACAGAGAGTGAAATCCATAGAGACGACGATGGCTGGAAGCCATTGGAGTGTGTCTCACCCAATAGACCGGCTTAGTTTAAAAAACTTTTTAGATAATTCCTAAAATTTTAACTAAAACGTAGAATTCCTAGAAAATAGTTAAGTTATGTTTTAGTTAAAATTTTAGAAAATAGTTAAATATAACTTTTAACTATTATATAAAACTTTAGCTAAAATATGATTTAACTATTTTCTGTAAATTTAACTATTTTCTGTAAATTTAGCTAAAACAAATTTAACTATTTCCTGTAAATTTAACTATTTTCTGTAAATTTAGATATGGAAACTTCGAACAAACTTCGAAGTGCCCCCGGTGAAACTTCGAAGCGATATGTTCGGAAATTGAAAGCTTTGTGAGCTCCATGTTTGCGCAACTTTTGTGAGCCCATGTGCAAACATCCATTCATGCTGTCATCCACTTATTAGTCTCATTCATGCACTCATTCGAGCAACCATTCATTTATGCATTCACACATCGGTGCATTGGTACAAACCTGTGAGTGAAACCTCCTTGAGAGAGGAAACCTTGAGAGTTCACTGCGTCCGCTCATTCATCCATTCATTCATTCAGTCAGTCAGTCGTTCACTCATTCATTCGCTCATTCAATCATTCATTCATTCATACAAACCTTTGAGTGAAACAACCTTGTGAGAGGAAACCTTGTGAGAGGAAACCTTGTGTGTCTTTATTCTATAGTCTTTCTTTTCTCTACCTCTTTTTTTTCTCTCTCACTCTCTCTCACTGGCCTGGATGTTGTTTTGAAAAAAGAGGCCAAGAATGACCGAGCGGGACATCGCCTCT